GGTAGCCGAGCGATCTAAGGCATGTACTGTCTTCGCTCTCTTGGAAACCGGGATCGTGGGTTCGAATCCCACACAAGACATGGATGTTTGGTGTGTGTGTTTGCGTTTATTTTGTGTTTGTGTTGTTATGTATGTAGGTAGCGGCCTTGCGACGAGCTGATCACTCATCCAAGGATTCCTGCCGTCTGTAAAATGATCATGAAACTGAGAAATCGGCCCTACGCTCCNAAAAAAATGGGGTGGGTTAAATTTTCCCTGTGCTTAATTGATTAAACACTGTGCCATAAAAACAAAAGTGGGCGTGGATATGCAGCTCCACTTGCTTGACGTCGGCACTAGATGGAGGTGAGTGATCAGCTTCACGCCCCGGACGCTTTACCCCTGGCACCCATTGGATACACTCTATATATAACATTTTTTATTTTTTCTAATTCGCTTAGTGGCTGGGTCCACTCGGCACGGCGGCCACTGATTGGCCTATTGTACATGCCCCGGGTGACTGTGATGATGCAGAATTTGGTGGAATGAAGATTGGCAGGGGAAACCCCAAAACTCGGAGAAAATCTTCCCCAGCGCCACTTTGTCCACGACAAATCCGACCAGACCCGAGATCGAACCCGGGCCGTGACAAGTTACGAGACAAGCAAATTTAAATTTTTTAATTTAAAAACTATATCCAATAAATTAAAATACGACTACATCATATACACACTACGAGTAAATATACGGATCCTCACGCGCCGAAACCTGGCGAGCAACTGAAGTAGTGTGGACGAAGATTTACGAGCACAAGTAAAAGCCAGACGAGTCTCCCGACGAGCACAAGCCTGGCGAGCACGAGCACGAGTAATGTGGACGCGCCTTAACGAATACGGAACTTTATTTTCCCGTTAGGTTGTCTACCAGTGAAGCGAGACACACATATACACACAGACTTTTAGATCAGGGGTGTGGAAACTACGGCCCGTCAGAGCTATATACTCGGCCGGCGGAGGTAGTGTGAAAACANGATGAGGATGATAGGCCAATAACGTTCATCGCTATGTAAAAGACAAAGGCTTGTTATTCTGTCTTTACGTATGTTAGCGGTAGAAACTGGTNCCAAAACTCGGAGAAAATCTTCCCCAGCGCCACTTTGTCCACGACAAATCCGACCAGACCCGAGATCGAACCCGGGCCGTGACAAGTTACGAGACAAGCAAATTTAAATTTTTTAATTTAAAAACTATATCCAATAAATTAAAATACGACTACATCATATACACACTACGAGTAAATATACGGATCCTCACGCGCCGAAACCTGGCGAGCAACTGAAGTAGTGTGGACGAAGATTTACGAGCACAAGTAAAAGCCAGACGAGTCTCCTGACGAGCACAAGCCTGGCGAGCACGAGCGCGAGTAATGTGGACGCGCCTTAACGAATACGGAACTTTATTTTCCCGTTAGGTTGTCTACCAGTGAAGCGAGACACACATATACACACAGACTTTTAGATCAGGGGTGTGGAAACTACGGCCCGTCAGAGCTATATACTCGGCCGGCGGAGGTAGTGTGAAAACATGCTTACAATTTCAACACAAAAAAAAATTAACTCAGGATAGGAACCGGTCAATGGCTCTTGTGAACACGGTATTGAAATTTCAGATTCCATAAAACGTTTGAAAATTACTGAGTGGCTGAGCTACTCGCAGCTTCTAAACAAAGGTTCAGCACCACGGAGTGAGTTAGTTAGTTAGTTAGTTAGTTAGTTCGATGTATTGTTTTATAAGTTCGCATGTAATGTTGCAACGGACCTTCTCACAGTAACGTAAGAAACTTAGCTCACGTAATTTTTGCAGCAGTAAACATTTATTTCGCTTATTTAAAAAAATTCGTCGACCTCTTTCCGGCTCAGCATAAAACTCCCAGCCTTTGAATTCGGCCCTCCGGCTATTGTCTCCCGTTTCGGAGACAGTACAATAGCCTTACAGTTACCGTACCTGAGCTCTGTATGTCCTATTAAAATTCGCAGCAAATCTGGCAAGTTCTGTGTCGAGACATGGCCACATTGCTCTCAGATGATTCAAAGGGCAGATGGCAGATGTGTCTGCCACTAGATTCACGTTACGAGCTGGAGGGGGATCCGCGTATGCACTCCCCCCCTGAACATATGGTGATAAATTCACATATTCATATTTGCTAGTCAGTATAGTGACTGGCCAAAAGACCGAGAAATGGGGGTTCGATTCCCGGAAACCTTACTTTTCTGCACAGTGTCCACACCGACTTTGAGACCAACACAGCCATACCATAAGAGAGACCAGGGCTCTTCTCCCCCAGGGGCAAATCAGGAGGGACGTGACTCTGGAAAACTTACCTTAATCTAGTGCTGGGATTGAGAATGTCTGAAACAATACCTCTACTCCCCAATACGTCTTCATGGCGTGGTGCTTAATCTAGCACAACGCCAACTTTACATTTCCTTTCTTTCCTGATAAATCATTTTTTCAATATCCTATTAGTCTACGCATATTCTACGACTAGTCCACATGTGGCGGCTTATTCGAGTCACTAAGAACAGATTCACTGTCTCCTGCAGAGACATAGGTCTACATCTGTTTAGTGTCCTTCGGAACGTTACAGCGAAAAAGAGGCCGAATGTTTCCGCAAGCGTCAGCTCGTCAACCACAATAACCAACGTCACTAAGAGCTTCAGGATGTCATACCTGGTTCTCCGAATTGAGGAGCTTCAACTGGTCGTTGATGAGGCTGTACTTGGCGGACTCCTCCTTGCGCAGGGCTCGTTCCTTCTTGAGCTCCGGGCTCCAGAAGGTCTTGATGCTGTGCATGCTGGAACCCAGCTTCTGGTTCGTGAGTTCGAGCTCCTTCTTGAACTTGGCCAGTTCGCGCTGCAAGTCGTTGTTCGTCGACTGTAACTCATCGATATACATGCCGCTGGTGTCCCTCACGCCCGAAGTCATCAAGTGAGGGTTTGGAGACTGTCTCGCCGACCTGGAGCCGTATAACTCGTCCTCCAGGTACCTGTCACGCACCGCACTACGGTCCAGGGATCGTTCCCTTGGCTCTCTGATGGGGACGAACTCGCGTTCATGCCCTTCCCCTATCATGCCCGAGGCTCGATCCAAAGATTGGTAGCGCGTCGGCATGGGGTTGGTGGTGCTCATAGGAGGCCTGCTCGCACTTCGCGACCGGTGGTGCCCGCCACCCGTCCCTGCGGAACGCCCTCGTTCGTCCATCATGACCGGGCTCCCTAGATCGTCCTCGCGCACGTAGTAAGGGGACCCCATAGCATATGAAGAATACCCCACATGCTGGTCCGGGGAGGTGTTGCCCGAACGATTGGTTCTGCCGCTCTTACGGCCTAACGGACTGGGGTAACTGCGTGACGGGGATCGGTCCACGGTCGGCAACTCCCCGACTCGTCTGACACTTCGAGGCGACCGGTTCCCGCCCGCACTACTCAGTGTGGAGGCCCCGTACTGATCCCGGGACATCTTCCTGCCTTCCCACTCGCCACCATTATACACTGTTATACTGTCGCCTCGTCACGGAGTATACCACATCACTGGACGCAAGCTGAGCACTCACTGCACCCCGGCAGACACTCGCTTCCTGCCAGCCAGCCCCAGCTGCTTGCTGATCAATGAAGGCCCCTCGTACTCCAACATGGCACACACACTTTTAGCAGCTCTTTATTTTGGCGTCGACGCACTAGTTCGAAATTGTCATTAACATTCGACCGTACAGGCACACTACGCGCTAGTCGGCTCCAAATTCACGACATCACGTAATTTCGGGCACTGAGCACATGCTTACGAGAAAATACGGCGCTGCTCGTGGTCAGGCTGTCATATACTGGCACGTTTTACGGTACTGCTGTAACTATCGTATTGAAATGTGTATCTGTAAATATTCATCTATATACCAGGTTCACATATTTCATAATTCATACTTTCACAAATTTATTTACATTACTCAGTGAAAAATAAATTTCCGCCTCTTCGTTAAACTATGCACCATGTATTTCTACACAATTTCTTGTATGTTCACTACAGATCGAAATTATAACAATTTTATCGAAACAAGTACAATAAAGTTCGATTCATAACAGTGTGTCTTTGGTTTGCTACAATTGATTCATTCAACTAGATCTTAAGTCATAAATTGGTCATACACGGCGTTCGAATACGATTTCATAGCACTTTTCGCGTTGTTCTAACCACGCCTCTTCCATAAACCCACGAGAACCTTGCTAGTGCATCTAAACAGAGCACGTTGTGTAAATGAAGCAATTACATCACCCGTCGTCAGAGTGCAGCATTATGACAGGCCCACGTCAACATATTATCCATCTATAGGTAAAATTCAGAACCTTCAGCCGAGACTTCAAGAAATCGACCAATACAGTGTCGAAAATTTGACAGAGAAATTCTCAGTATAACCGTGCAAGCTAAGTGTGTGGAAAACATGACAAAAAAGCGTCAGCTGCAGAAAGGCCAATCCGATCAGGGACTCACATGTAACACCGGATCTAGCAAAGGCAATATACGTCGTGCTTTTAATCACCTGACGATAGAGCCCATAATTAAAAATTTCCGTATATGACCTTCAGTTGATAAATTATACCCAGCATAATTTTTTGTACGAGTCACATTATCCCATTATGTTTCACAATGAGTTCAAAATAAGTACGTGACAAGTTAGATGAACTATTTTACGGAAATCATTATAATGAGTTCCGTAAAATAGTTCATCTAACTTGTCACACCACAGAAAATATTTAAATAGAGCCGTAAAGATTAGAGACAGAAAATCACGTTAAACATTTAACAGCATCAAAACCAATGCTATTTGCTTCAAAATCCATTATAAATTCAATAACATTTGCTGGATATCAATTGCCTCGGTTACCTAACTACTGTTAACAGTCGAAATAATCTCTGTTCCATTTTAAATGATCCAGTAGAAATTTCTTGGGAATAGCTTGAAATGGCGCATTTCTACACTTCTTACTTTAATGACCAAAGAAGGATATCCTTTATTGTGGTCCTTATTCGAAAATATAATTGAAGCAAACATTTTTAATGGTGATGATCAAGCGATTATCTATGTGCCAAAATACATGTCGACGCTTCATGCAGAATGTCTTCATGCTGTGGTTGTTTCAACACAAAGCAAAATGCTAGTGCTCTCTGGACTGGACATGGAGTCGGTTTGTGTGTCGTGGCCAAGACTAACATCACTGCCCCTGTCGAGAATTAAACTCCAGTAATTTAACTCATGTCCAGTAAATTAATAAAAATACCCGGGACTCTTAACAACAACAACGACGACGACGACGACGACTACGACAAGGACACGCTGTCTTTATCGAGCTGTCAGCATTCTTGTATTGCATTTGGAAGCTTCCAAAATCAGGCATTGGTCTAGAGACCGGATTTCCTCACAGGTATTCTTGATTTTCCAGCCCGCATCCGGGCAAATGCCGGAATAGCGCCTAAAATTCGGCTGAGACCGTTTCCGTCAACATCCTTTCTAGTTCGTTACAACCATTAGATGTCATATAGTCAGAGCTGCAGAAGTTGTTAAATATTCCACAAATACACAAATAATAAAACCAGTTACAAAACAATAAAAAAAAACTCCGTGGTTTTCGTCCGTAAGCGAACTATACCGATTGAGCGACCGCCGCTTGTCGACGAAGTTAGTGCCAACTTGGCCGCGCCATAGCTCAAGCGGTTAGTCGCTGGCTTCCCATCGCAGCTGCCCGGGTTCGGTCCCGGTTCTGGTCAAGTGGCGCTGGGGCAGGTTTTCTCCTAGTACTTCGGTTTCCCTTGCCAATCTTCATTCCACCAATTGCTCCACAATCATCCTCACCTATCATCTGGGGCTGGTACAATAGGCCAGCAGTGACAGGAGTACAAGGGACTTAGTCCCACCCCACTAGCACTAAAAAAATAGTGCCAACTTTAGCGGATAAAGGGTGTCGCGTGGTCAGCGCAACGAATCCCCGCGGCCGTTAATCTCGGGTCTCTAGATCGGAGCCGCTTTTTCCTTGAAATCGCTCCTCAATTATCCTCACGAGGCTGAGTGGACCCCGTTCCAGCCCCACTACTTAGCAGAAAATCTGGTAGCGCCGTGAATCGAACGCGGAACTCTGGATCTGAAGCCAGGAACTCTGACCACTACACCACAGATGTGTTAAAAAAATGACAATAATTATAATGAATTTAAACATAACAGAGGAAATTGTACAAAAGTCAGACCAACGTCATATCTTTCTTATGCCAACATCCCTCTTGTCAAATGCATAAATTAAAATCAGTGACACATACATCTGTATCCCTGTCAATCCTTCACAATACTCGTATAACCGACATTCATTCCTCTACCATGCCTGCAAATTACAGAAAATCCCTTTCCGCAGAAATATAATACTCATTCCGGGGAAAGATAAAATATGGACGGCAGATGGAAAAGCTAATAAAAATAAAAGCAGTAATTGATAAAATTGCACTCTGAAACGCAAACAGCAGTCTCCGTAGTCTCCACGTAGAAGAGAAAATAACAGCTTATGGGCCCAGGATCGTATTATTGATAAGTATAAATAGTAAAAAATGAAAGTGTTATTTAAAAGTGATCCCTTGGACTGACACCGCCACCAAGACAAAGAGAAAAGTTTCATCATGGCCACTTCAAAGCCCTGCGTGAATACTGATAAGCTCAAAGGACGGGAAAATTATAGAGAATGGTGCTTTGATATTCAAAATGTTCTAGTGATTGAAACTGTGTGGGCAGCAGTCAGTGGATATGCTGCAGAAGATACAACTCCCGCATCCCTCAAGAAACAAAAGGACAAGAAAGCCAGAGCCATCATTCTCTATAATTTTCCTTTAGTGGATCTGTGTTCAAACTATCAGGAGCAGCAGTCAGTTGGCGATGTAAAAAACAAAGGACTGTAGCTTTGTCAACCACAGAAGCAGAATATATGGCGTTATCAGAGACCGCGAAAGAAGCCATTTTCTTGAGAAAATTATGGTTTGAAATATTTAACAAGGAAATCACTATTCCTATTTTTTTTATAATCGTGGTGCTTTAGGTATAGCAAAAAATCCTATCAATAATTATTGATAGGATTNCAATAACGACCAAACAAAACATATTGACATAAGGGTTCATTCTGTAAGAGAGAGCGCTGAATCAAAGGAATTGTCAGTACATTACATTCCTGGAAATCAGTTAGTTGCTGTTGGTTGCACGAAAGGTTTAAATGTACGGAAATATACTGATTTTATTAATTCACTTGGGTTGTGCTAAGAATAATGTTTCCAAATGATGTTCTAAATAATAACAGTTTTTATATATTGAGTAATGAATAAGTATTTTTTTAAATTCCCAAAATTGTTTAAGGGGGAGTGTTATGTTGGCAACTCTCTAATGTTAAACTATAATGCTAGAGTTGGCAACGTCGTAGTAAACAATTTTCAATAATAGACGGCGCTACATGTGCTGTTCCTAATATCTCTACTGTTGTGTGTTACTACGGTTATGTGTGTAAAAACAGAATCTCTCTATTGTTATGTTACCATGGTTATGTGTGTGAATATGTATATAAAATGCCTTTGTGTATCAAAAGTTTGTCTTAATAAAGCAGGGTTAGATGGAACATTGATTCTTACGTATCATCCGATCCACGTAGAAGAGAAAATAACAGTTGTTTGTTTATTATAAATACAGTTTCAGGACATTTGTAAAATAAGGCAATTACGGCACTGGGAAGTCCTTATGCGATTATGCAATGGATCAAGAACAGAAGCTAGAGTTTGTTAAGAATCACATTGAAAGTTACCCAGACTTTCCAAAGCCTGGAATACTATTCAGGTGGGAATTCCATGAAAGTTTGGATTTATATCTGAAGTCGCTGTAATCACAACACTGAATCGAAAGAACTATCTCACGGAATGTGTTGCCATAGTTTTGTATGCTTGTACCACACTACAAGGTTTTCATTCATTCATTCTTATATTAATCCTGTAGATCATGATACAATGATATAGGACAAGTATTTCAGTTAATATAAATTTTTAAATTACAACAGTCTTAATACTAAAAAATTATATAAGATATACAACATTTTATACATTATGTACTATATACTTCTGCTTATATCAGTAGCCAATATTCTAGAATTCATCATTCAAATAGTCCTCCATTGAGTAATAGCACCTCTGAATAAGTAGCTTCTTCAATTCCCTTGTGAACTGATTTTTGTTTTCTATTTCTTTTATGTTTTTAGGCAATTTGTTGTAAAAGATACAGCCAGCTACTGAAGGATTACTATTATAAAGTTCTAAGTTGTGCCCATATAGTATATGATAGTCTTTATTATTTCTTGTGTTATATGTATGTATTTGTTCATTCACTGCGCAGTTACACTTTTTTTTACATATAGGATTGTTTCTTGTATGTATAGCGAGTATACTGTTAGTATCTTTAGATTTCTAAAGCTATCCCTGCATGATTTCAGATGTTTTAGCCCTGCAATGTATATTACTGCCCTTTTTTGGAGTACAAAAATTCTTCTAATGAGGGTCTTAGCACTATGTCCCCATACTATTATTCCATAAGATAGATGAGGATAGATCAAACCATAATACAACATTCTTCTTTCATTTAAATCGAGTATTTTAGATAGCCTGTTAATTATGAACAGGTTACGGCTAATTCTACTGCACATTTTTTCAATTCCCAGCTCAAGGTACTATTTATTACTACCCCCAGAAAATTTGTGCTTTTTACATTTGATAGTGCCCTGTTCTTTATTAGGATTTTTAGATTACTTTCCTGCCTCCATTGTTTTGTCTGGAAGAGAATGTAGTGAGTTTTAGATGGATTTATAAATAAATTATTTGTCTCAGAGTATTGCTCTGCCACTCCTATATTATTTGAAGTCGTGTTTTGGAGCTCATTCATATCTTGCCCTACATTCAGTATTGATGTGTCATCAGCATACATTACTGATCTGTCTTGTGTCAGATGTGGGATATCGTTTATATACAAGATGTAGAGTAATGGGCCAATGACCGGTCCCTGGGGGACTCTGTATCTCACTGGGAGGCTACTTGACCAATATTCTTTCATACGATTGCCTTCTGTTTGTGTTACTTTTACGTGTTGAGTTCTGTTTCTGAGATAGGATTTGATTAGCTTATGTGGTATACCATGGACTCCATATTTGTATAATTTATTCATGAGAATATTATGTTGAATACAGTCAAATGCTTTTGATAAGTCTGATAGTACACAGTTGCATTTTATTTTATCATTCAAACTTTCTATTCTGTTTTCAATAATTGTGGCAATTGCATCATTAGTAGATTTATTTTTTCCCTAAATCCAAACTGAGATTTATTAAGTATATTGTGCTTTTTCTAAAAATGCTATTAATTGGTTAGCTGTTACTGTTTCCAGAACCTTTGAAAGGGCAGGTACAAGAGTAATTGGACGACAGTTATTTGCATCTTCTTTTATCCCATTTTTGTGGATTGGTTTGACTACTGATTCTCTTAGTTTAGAAGGGAAGATGCCTTCTCTGATTGATGCAGTGACCAATTCTAAGAGTAGCTTTATTATGTAAGGTGTACATTTTTTTAGCAGATATGGCGAGATGTCATCAACTCCTGCTGATTTTTTATTCTTCATGCCCTGAATTACTTTAATCAATTCAGTCTCTGTTATTTCTAATAGGACAAGTGAATCTTTTATGCTTATATTGTTATTACTAGTTTGTGGATATAATAAATTGTTGTCAAGTATAAGTTTATTTACAGTTTCTATGAAGGTTTTGTTAAATATGTTACGTGTTCTACTCGGACTTGAGACTATTTCATTTCCATCTTGTAAGTGTATATTACTAGTGAGAGTATTTTTTGGTGAGCCGCTTTCTCTATTAACAAATTCCCACAATATTTTTGGAGTGTTATTTGTTCTGGTTATAATATTCTGAATGTAGTTTGCTTTTGCCTTTTTTAATATTACATTATATTCCTTTTTATATGCTTTATAGATGTCTCTATGTTCCTGAGTCTTACTTTGCATATAATGGTTGTACAAATCCTTTAGTTTTGTTCTTGCTACTATAGCATCTTTTTTTTATCCAGGGGCTTTTTGAAGTACTTATGGTATTTCTCCTCAGTTTGGGACAGGCTATATTAAAATAATAGTTAAAAATGCTATAAAAAGAGTCCCATTTTTTCTACCTCATTTTCCTAGACACTTCAGTCCAAGTTTCAGTTTGTCTTGAAGAGCACACACTTATTATATTGGCTTTTGATATATTCCTGACCTCTTTGTAACATCCTGTTTGTTGTGGTACAGATGTATTAATAGTTATACATTGTGGAAAATGATCTGAAAGTAGGCTGTTTATTACTTCAGTATGATAGTATTTAGTTGGTATATTAGTTATGATTTGGTCATAGTTGTAGCCGTACTTTCAGTTACTCGTGTAGGTGTGTTTATTGTCACAGTCGGATTATAAGCTTTTGTAACATCTAATAATTTTTGTGACTACTTCCACCTTCTTGGATGTGTATGTTTATGTCTCCTACTAAAATGATATATTGGTCTTTCTGGATTAGTTTCTCCAGAATATCTACTAGATGGATAACAATTTCGTTTATTCCACCACTTGGTGATCTATATAATGCAATGATTGTTATTTTTTCTTTTCACCTGTTAGTTCTATACCAGTAACCTCAAAAGTTTTTTCTGTACTTTTTTCTATAACCCATTTCAGAGGTTTATGTTGTTGTATGTTCCTAGAACTGTAAATAGCTATCCCACCCCCTTTTTGATCATTTCTGCTGAAGTGTGAGGCTACAGTATATCCTAATATACATTGAGTAATTTCATCATCTTTAAGACCGTGTTCAGAAATTGCCAATATATCTGGGGTGGTACTTTGAAGGAATGTTGTGAATAGTTCAGTTTTATTACTGAGATAATGTGCATTTTGATGTATTGTTTTGAGCTTTTGTCTTGTGTTGGTTTTACATTGCATAAGACAGGAATTTTCATGGTCACCGCCATGAGAACATAAGATCTCACATATTATTATGCCATTTTCAGGGACTTGTTTTCAGTGCTCAGAAATCCATGTGCATTCCGTGCTTTGCAAGAGGTCATGATTGAGCATGTGTCATTGCAGCTGACCCCAAAGCCCGAAGCTGTAGTAGCTCTGGATGCAAGGGGCTTTTTAATCGGACCACTAATAGCACTGCATTTTGATATCCCCTTCATTCCAATAAGGAAAAGAGGAAAGCTTCCAGGACAAGTGATACAAGTTTCTTTTGCACTAGAGTATGGCACAGTGAGTTCCAGCAGAGGTCATAATTCCTATCACTCACATCACATTAACACTTTTTAACTGATTTTGTTCTCAGAGTTCCTTCATGTCTAAGTTGGAGTATAATGCGCGTTATAGTGTTTGAATTAATGTCTGATTAAAGAGGACACATGGATACAGGTTAATGACTTTTGTTTAAAATAAGATGCATTGAAAGTCTAGCCATAAACTATTACATAGGGTGATCACAGTGGCCTTGTGGTCTAAGGTACAGAATGTCTTTGCCTGCTCAAACACTAGGATTCTGGATTTGAATCTTACTTTGGGCATGGACGATTTTCAGCATTTAATCTGTGTTCATGATGTCCTATGTAGGTAGTGGTCTTGTGACAGGCTGATTACTGAACCAAGGAGTCCTACCAACTGGCTGTAAGATTCAAAATTTCAGAATTAATTCCAAATGAGAACAGGCCAAGGAGCCTAATATGTCAACCAAGAAGAAGAAGTATAAGAACTATTATGTAGTAAAGCTGACTTACTAAATTGCTGTTTTCAAGCATGCATTTCACACAGAAAAAGTGCTTAGCAGATTCAAGTAGGAATAAGGTGCTTGACTGCAGAAGTCTTCGAGATCTGTACTCTGAATATCAGACAGGCCAACAACTGTATTGAGTAAAATATTTTGTGGTTTTCTTGTCATACTGTACTGATACTGAAATAGTATTTTGAAAGACGATATGATATCTTCCTCTCCAATCCTTTCCATTTCATCATCCATAAATTATTTCTTCATATCATTTAATGAAACATAGCTCTCTAACTGATAGAGCATGGTCAAATAATCAACAAATAGAATGAATACAGCTCAGAGGTTCAAAACACTGCAATTAGAGTTTCCCACTGGTTACGATCCTTATCTATTTCAATCGTGGTCACATTTTGAGAAATATGTCCCTAAGCTCCATTTTAATATCATAATCCCATACCCACTTAAGTCCCAGCAGCCCTACTCCGGGTGGTACGTACTCTTTCCCTGTATCCCAACTGCCTTCTAGCTTTGTTCTATTCTAATTTACTTGATATAATTTTGTGCTAGAAGTAAAGATAAAAGTTATCCTTGTGCTTAATAGTTAAAACACAATGTCATGAAGACGTGGAGGAGTGGAGGTATAGCTCCACCATTCTTGACCTCAGCCCTGGGCACAAACGAGTGCTCAGCTTCACTCCTTGGCTGCTTTACCACAGGGTAAGAGCCTCTGGTATCAACTGGGTAGGCCTCAGAGCTAGTGTGGACATTATGGAGTAGAGACAATGCTCTTGCCTCCTACCAGGAATTGCACCCTGGCCATCCAGCCCATAGCCCATTACTATACCAACTGAGCTACATTTTTTAGAAACTCGCAGTAGTGAAGACTTGTTCTGAATTTTGTGCTTATGTTTGATTGTATTTTTTGTTTCTTGAACAGGACATATTTGAAATTCAGTCAGTGGGCATCAAAAGCGGCCAGAATGTCCTCATAGTAGATGATTTATTAGCAACCGGAGGTAAGCACATACAGTAATCTTAGCCATCCCATGAGAGCTTCAGATCTTGAAAGTACAGATCGGACACATTTTTTTTTTGTATGGTGAACATAAATTACAAGTGTTTGAGATTGTGCTCAGGAGTGATATGAAGAGAATTTTGTGATTTATATGCATTTACCTGGTATTAATCAAGCAGGTAGCACAGCTATGGATATGAGAGACAAAGAATGTATACAAAATTTTAGTGGTAAAATGTCTGAGAAAGCATCAACCTCAGATATCACTGAGACACGACAGCAATAACACAGATATCAATAAAATATTTTCTGGCTATCATCTGTATCAGTTGGTTAAAATTCTGTGTTTCACAGAATTTCTGTCCTCATTGGCAGGTTATGAAATATATTATGGAATTATGTTGCAAGGATAAAAGGTGGGTGAACTGGATCAGGATTCTGTCCAATGATAAGTTTTGGTATGTGTTGGACCTTCAAAATCTATTATAGGGGTGGCTGGGTAGGGGCTGAGATAAGACCTCCAAGGTCACTGTATCTTTAGTCACCATAGCCAGAATAGTATTATAAAAATATTTGAGCATCCTTCTGTTTTCATTAGTACAGTTACTCTGTTCCACAAGGTATAAAGAGAACTAAATTTTGGGCCACAATGCTGCATTAATATTACCAGGACACAAATATTATTATAATACAGTTTCCAGGTGGGTCTTTTTATCATATGTTCCATTAACTTTATTGGTAATCAGTGTTGGCTCAGCCTTACCAAATTCTAAGAACCATTTTTATCATGCAACGACAGGGTAACATAACTTTTTGATTGCAGGCTCACTGAATGCTGCATGTCAGCTGGTGCAGCAGCTTCATGCCACAGTTCTGGAGTGCCTTGTCATCATAGAGTTAGTGGACTTGAAAGGAAGAGATAATGTGAAGGCACCAGTACATTCTCTTATTCAGTTCTGAAGAGATTGTGTGTATTAGCATAAATATTAATGTAATATAAGTGAGCCTTTTTAGGGTATGATGCATATCAGATTATTACAGTTATTACACAGTTCCGAAGCTACTGTTTGTATTAGCATAAATATTAATGTAATATGTAGTGAGCCGTTTTTTAGGGTATGATGCATATCAGATTAAAGTCTGGGTTATGAAGCAAACCTTCTGGTAACACTGTGTAATAAGATATAACTAGTTTTTATCTTTGAGGTTGCTGAGGAGAAAATTACAGTTAGGAGCGCCATAATTTGTACTCTTCACAAAATGTTATTTAATTGCAGAAGCTGAGATGGGTGGGGCAAATGGCATCAGTGGGAAAGAACAAAACGCATAGAAATTTTAAGTCAGAAAACCTGAAGAGAAGAAACCATTTTGGACACAAGGTGTGGAACAGATTCACAGGACATGGGGTAGGGGCCAGTGTTGAACATAATGAAAGTTTGGGTTCCATAGAGGATGGGGGATGTCTTAACCAGCCAATTATTACGTTCTCAAAAACGGACCAAGCTCTATGAAATTAATCCTGTGACTGTGCCCATTACATAAAATCAGAATTTGCCACATCCTAATAGTCAGGACTAACCTATGTAATGGGCTAAAAAGAGTAGTGACTATTTCTTTTGGCATTAACTCTGAAGCATGTATATTTTTTTATTCAGATGACATCCACAGAAAATCCTCCAAAGATGATGCATGACCAGTATTAGAAATCATAACAACACTACAGGAATAGTTTAATATGAAGCTCAGTTGTGACAGGGACTGAATTACCATGGAACATTACACACCCCTGACAGTACTGGAAAATTATTATAAGTGTTATTAAGACTAAAAGTAATGAAATCTTCTGCAATGACCAAGGTGTTTCAGTCAGAGAGCTTCTCTGTCCATCTGCAGGGAATTACGTAGACAGGGAAGGTAACCAAAAGTTAGACATTCACTCTGAACTGACATTGCTAGTCACCTAAGATTTTATCATTACTGTGGATGTTCTCATGAGGAATTCAAGTGTAATATAGTAATATATTGTAAGGAGTCCTATTGACTATGTAAAAGATCAAGAATCTGAAATCGGCCAAGGCCCTACAGAAGGTTGTAGAGCCACAGATAGATAGGCAGGTATTGTGAAAGTCATAAACATTCAGAGTCTTGAATACAAGTTATTTCCTTTACATACACAGGTGCTAAAAATATATATTTAATTTATTTTTATTATTGATATTCAAAGCAATAAATATACAGTGAACATGTATTATGAATTGACATAAGATTAGAGAATTTGTGATGATGAAAGTATCACAGTAAACTCATGTCATCCAATATCTAAGCATCTGGAGTTCTCATGCAACCAACAGATCCTCAGAACAGAATTTCCCATTGTCATAAAGTTACTCAAAAACAAATTTGTAACATGCATACATTCACCTGCCACATAGCAGTTTTCGCATCTACTGCAGGCAAACACTACTCGACAACTTCCCTCATGCAGGCCCCCTTACAGTACGAGTAGAGGCTAGTTGAATTCGCTTTCACACCACTGTATTTCGATTTGGGTAAAAAGGTAAAGTTGTCCCTGTGCTTAACTAATTAAGCACTATGCCATGAAGACATGTGACAGAGTGGATGTATAGATCCACAATTTCTTGACCATGGCACTAGTTGGAGGTGAGTGGTCAGCTTCACCCCCCCCCCCCCCGGCCCCTTTACCCCNCTTTACCCCTGGTGATAGAGCTCCCAGTACCCATTTGGCAGGAGGCTGGGTGTGCCCCAGGGCCAGTCTTGAGGATGTGGAGAAGAGAAAATTTGACCCTACTGGGACTTGAACTCCAACCGCTAGGTCATCCAGCCCATAACCAGTCGCTATACCGAGTACACTATGATTTTTCAGTATCTAAGAGTTTTTCTCGTTTAACTTGCAGATTCACATAACTTGCACATCCTATTCCTTGCCAAATGACAGTGAGTTTATTGTGGTATAAAAGAGAAACTGTGATTGCAACTTCTTGCATCTGTCTATTATGCATAGAGTGAATCTTGTATCTTGTATCATTATTTTCGTTTCCATAGATCCTTACTGGCTACCAAAGCCATCAGATATAGAACATGGCACAGTTTACAGACATTAGTTCCGAGAACAGAAACAATCATCTTACAGTATATTCATGAAAGGAACCACAGTTATACAATTCAATAATTTAACCAACATGTACAATTCATCAATTAGACATTAATACCTTATTGAGCCCATTTCTTAAAAATACATATACAAATATCAGTTGAAAGTCTTTTATACAATATAGCATGTAAAGAGCATTATAAAAATGAAAATGGGCTGTTTTCATTACTATTGATATGAAATGTTCATGAAGCTGAGTTTTACACTGTCTCATGGTTAAGATGCTGTGCAGGTTAGTACTAGAAATTACATGGTGAGTGGTACAAAACGAAATCACATATACAGAAGGCTATATAACCTGTATCAGCCTATGAACATGAACGTTAATTGACAAAATTACATAATATGACAGATGCTGTGACAACATTCCTATATTCTGCTATTACAAAAATCCATGAATGATTGCTTTCTTCATTACAATTGTGATTCTGATATATAATTGATTGCACTGATACTACTGATTGCTACAGCTAAGTAAAACTTCTGTATAACACGTCCATGCAGAATTCCAGAAATACAACTTAAATCTTCTAGCTGCTTGTCATTGTCACACAGTATGCTTGATACATATATTGTTTTAGATTGTATTTACAAACTGAGCCTCAAATTCCTAGATCAGGGCACACGGATTGTGGTTTCTGACATGATTTCTGCATCATGCACATGAAAGTACATAATCTGTTCAATCAATTTACAGTACATTTAAACTGAGAAGATATAATAGTTATTGTTCTCTGTTATTTCCGTCCTTGAAAGGATTACAGTATTTCTGGAATCTGCATTAATATTATAAGAACATTCTTAGGCCCTGAAATATTCCATTTTCATAAATACCTAAAAAATCATGGGTAACCACATGTTATGTGTTACCAGGTTCCCTTCTGCTGTAATTGTAAATTTTTGTTACTGCCTGTATATTCTAAATGAACTTAATTACCTACATATTTATGCATGCAAAACATTTGGAAACATCAAGAGAAAAATGTTTAAATCTAAATGTGAAAGTGAGAAAGATTTTCTTGGCACTCCTGCTGCAGTCTGTAACCTGTCCAAAAATTTGGGTCCTTGAACTTCATTGTATCAGCTTCCATGTTGTATATTATGGGACATATTCATTTGATTGAGTACTCTGCTAAGAATTGTCAGAGAGGGCTCTGTAGATATGCAAATGAAAGCTAGATTTCTGATAAGATAACACTCTGAACTCTGCAGGAGAGCTAGGAAATAGTCTGCCCTTTAGTTTGTATCAGATCTCTCTCACTCAATAGAATAAGACTGATGAAACAGGGTTTCAGGGCAAAAGTTCACAGGCCAATAAAGTGATGGCTTTCTGATCTTCATTCCAGTCACTTGTTTCTTTTTATACGGACAGTATTTGGCAAGTATGCTTGTATACAAGTGTGTTATGTCTGTTCATATGTAGATTTTATATTTTGTAGCAATAAATATGATACCATGATGACTTACATTTTTGACTGGTGAATAAAGTGTTTATGTACCCATGTGCACAGACAGTGCACTTTTAATTAACAACTGTGAAGCGTCTTTTTAGTCCTTTATCCATTGTGGATGTTTGTTTCCATTTCACATTTTTTATTTGAGGCACTTTACATTAATATTATGTACAACCGTGAAACTTGAATGTACAGGATGTCTCATAAGTCTGTTCAGTATATCCAGGATTCATCTCGGTGAAAATGCACGAACATTTTTGCCTGTCCATGGGAACGGCATGAAATATTTGGGGTGTGATCTTATTGCACGGAGTTGCACTTGCAGTTAATTTGGGCCTTGAGTCTTCCTGTCATGGGCCTTGAGATATTTCTACTGCATGTTTGACTTCTTGGACTCTGGTTCCCTGTGGTGATACCAAGATTCATCACCAGTCACTCAGTGGGCAGATTACAGTATATTGATAAGCAATAATCTGTAAGACAGATCTTTATTCAACCACTTCTCTGTCTCAGTTATTCAGTAACTAATATTTCTGTGAAATATACATTTAAGAGAAAATGTTTGGAATTCAAATTAGCAATTATAGCCATACCACTGACACCACCAGCTTTATTTGTAATTAAGAATTTTTTATTATAGTAATTACGCATATGATGTAGTAAGGAACATTCGAAGGTGACTTAGCCCAGTTCTTGGTTTCAAGAATAGGGCCTGTTTCACTTCTACCCAGACAGGGCAGGAAACACCCCGCAAAGTTTTCCAGGAAATTCTGTTCAAAAGTTGACCGGCGGGCTCCTTTGGTAAAGTTACACTTGACAGGTTTATAACCCCGTAAGTCAAAAGTTGGAAGGTCCTCAACGTACACTACTGGTATAATTTTTCAAACAGCTGTCAGAAATGACAGCTACAGCTAGAAGATTGGAGCAGTGAGAATTAGAGTAAACTCCCAAAATTCGAATTGTTCCAATCACCCAAAATTTGGGTAGTAACTTGGAGGCGGAGCTGAAGCTGTGAAGATTTCTTGCCTCAAAGGAGAGTCAGTGTACTAAAGTAGTCTCTGAACAACTCTCCAGGAGTACAGCTGAAAAATTAGCATCAATGGCAGTTTGGTTCAAAAGTCAAAGTTAAAAGCAAAAATTAATTTTTAAGCGTGTTACTGAAACAGTCGCTGAGTAACTCTGCAAGTAATGAGACACAAAATTTAAAAGTTTAAGTGAAAGTGTAATTACATCTAAGTGTGATTCTCTCTATCTCAAAAAAAAAAAAAAACTGTCACAAAATAACTAGCCAGGGATCCGGTCGCAAAATTTAGTGATTCCAAGTTTGGTTTAGGTGATTAAGGACAAATGTTATTAACTGAAAATAAAAAAGTGCTTACTAAACAGGGTTGTGTAGTACATAGCAATAAAAATTCTTATCTTTCCCACTAATGGAAGGCCTGTATGCAGCCTGAGGCTGAATCTCGTTGCCCTAGTGCTAATGCAGTACCTATTACCTGTAGTTTCCAGTTCATTCCCCTTTTTCCCCGAAGAGTGAGCCTTTGTGGTAAGATTACTGGCACCCAGCATTCATGTAACCCATATCCTGCAAACAACCAGTATCCACAACAACAACAACAACAACAACAACAAAAAGGGGAAGAAGAACTTTATAAGAAGGACACAGCAACATCCTGCAACCTCGGAGTACCAACAGGTGAGAGGGAACAGCTAGAGGAGAAGCTGCAACCAGCAATGTAGGGGCCAAAGGACGGTTAGAGAGGAAATGGCGACCACCAACGTAGAGGCCACAGGACGGTTAGACAACCCTGAATTACATTTCATGTACCTCTGTCTTTAAATTCATCCTTCATCTGTAGTATGGATTCAGAAATATGCACTAGGCCCTAAATATCCATAAACATATATATTTTATACTGTAAAAGAGTACTGTGGATAATCAGTAGGTTATATAACTGAAATATACATAAACTACAACTTTAATCCCCTTTTAGCTAAAACGTTTGCCTAGAACATCTTGGTACTTATTAAAAAGAAATGATCTACATTTACATTTAGGTTATTCAGTATGGATGAAAGTTTTGTTCATAAATGGCACAGAACATTCAAGATACAAATTCCACTATCTACAGAGAAGCTGCTTCAGAGAGGCAGATGAATAGCACAAAGATAGCACACTTATACATGTCTGCAAAACAATGCATGTGGTAGTGCTATAAATATACATAAATAAAAAATATAGCCAACAGTGTTAAAAAATGCAATAAATGAAAACACTCTGAAACATTTGTATTGTAACACGTTTCACTGGCTTATCTCTCCAATATGGGTGCATTTCTTGATAGTTCTTATTTTGTACATATAAAAAAATGTGTCAAGTGAAAATGAAATCTGTTGAAATGGTTTCAATATGCTAAAAACAATCTTCATATCAGAAATGTACATCTATACATCCACAGAGATGCAGATAAATATGCAATACTCTAAACTTGCAAGACTCTGATGAGCGGTAAAATTATATAATAATTTCATCTAAAGTAATATGTAGTTGTATCTTGTGCTTCATTAATTAGGCACCATGTCATGAAGATGTATGGGGAAATGTAAGTATAGCTCTGCACATTCTTAACCTCAACATTAGTTACAAGTGGGCAATAAGCACTATGCTGCAGCCACTCTATCACTCGAGAAGAGCACAAGTACCATCAGACAGAATACTGGGTGTGCTGGGTCCACAGCTGAACTGATGCTGTCCTTGTTAGGAATTGACAAGCGGTTCCTCGGTCATCTAGCCCATAACCCATTGCTGTATGGACTGAGCTATCCCAGCTCCCTGACTCCATCTACCTATAGTATTCATAATGCGGATTTTTGCATATTGCACAGCATCTAACGATCTGGGATAGCTCAGTTTTTTTTAATTCGCTTATGGGGGGGGGAGTCTGACTGGGTCCACTTGGCACAGTGGTCATTGATTGGCCTATTGTAGCCTGC